CTGATCGCGAAGGTCTTTGATTTCTTCTACCATCCTTTCGCGCTCCCCCAAGGCCTTAATTCGCAAAAGGATGTCGCAGGCCCAGCCTACGTTGATCTGCGCTCGGCCCAAATTAGTGAGGAGACGATCGAGGGAATCAAGATCTTTCTTGGCCAGGGTACGATCTCGAGCTTCTCGAAGGCCAACTACCAACTCGCATGTGGTTTTATACACAAAGTCCAGAACAAAGGCAGCAGCCCTTCAAGATCCCCAAAGGTTTGGGGGTATTTTGCTTGAACCTCGTCCAAAATCTTAGCCTCGGCGGCAGAAACGGTGATTCCACCCCACAGCACGTGTAAAGGGTCATCCGTCTCTTGATCTGGCTCTATAGGATTCGCGGCCTGACCTCTTGTTGGTAAGTTAACTTCTCTCTCGGTTGCATCCTCACTAGAGGCCGGCCGAATCAATCTATTACCCTCAGCTTGGTTGACTTCATGCCTCAAATAGTTCGATTCTGAGGTGTCATCATGGGACGAGTTACTGCTGGCATTCGAGCTCTGCATTTCATCCAAACCGTCACCCTCAGGAAGAGATCTGATGGCTGAATCCACCATCTGCTGCAACTCGGCAAGAGACTCTCGAGGTAGCACATGAACAATCTCGACCTGCGAACTGGTATCGCTGTCCTCGCCCACGCGATCGGGGAAACGACCCTCTGAACCAGCTGCAGCTTCAGCCACGTCAGACGTAGCTACCTCGGCACCTAAGGGATGGATAACCAATCGTTAAAAAAAAAAAAAAAAAAAAAAAAAAAAAAAAAAAAAAAAAAAAAAAAAAAAAAAAGAAGAGGGGGGGGGGGGGAGGGGGAAAAAAAGGATAGTACCTCCTCTATGGGATGGCGAGCGACTTGGGCTTCGCTCGATGTTAAAAATTCCCATAGTAGGATCTGCCGAGGTATTAACCTCCCCGGTCTCCTCGTCAAACCTGCCTAAGCCGCGGGCTAGGGGGATCAACTCTTTGCCCACCCCGTGCTGCAAAGGAGGAGGGTTCAAGTCAGAGGACAGTACCTCCCTCGCTGCGTGCTCAGGGTCCTCCAGAACGCTTGCCAAAAATATGAAGAGGGTTAGAGGGAATGGCCAGGCCGGTATCCGCCTCAGGAGCGAGGAGAACACCACTAGTGGGCGCGGTCGTCGCAGGAGTTCTTTTTGGATGGCTAGCGCGAGACCTTGTTCTCAAAGGAACCCCAGCTCGGGTGGGCGAATGAGGAATCTCGGAAGAAACAGGATCCTTTGCAACGGTGGGGGCCTTTGGAGCATCCTATAGAAAGGGAGATGAATAAACTGGTCAGCATGGAGTTGATAAGAAAGTAGAGGTAAAATGCTTCTTTTACCTTAGCTCGCTTTGAAGACGCAGTTGCAGGTATGAAGGTGCTAACGTCTTGATCTGCCTTGCATTTGTCCCAGCGCGCCTTAGTGGCACGGAGGGCTATCACGGGCGCGGTTGCAGTTGGCAAGAGTAGAGGAAGTAAACCTGTTGTGCTGCAAGGTTTACCCCTCGCGGCTACAGACGTATTTTTGAAAGTGCGGAACGAGGCGTCACCCTTTAATAGGGCTCGAGCAGGGACAGGGACATGAGTGCTACTTACAAACTTCTTAAAAGAAAGAATTATCTCCTTCCAATAGGTCCTCGTCTTTTCAGCCCATCTCCCAACCCTCTGAGTGGAGGGCACATGAAGAATTTAGCGATTCCCAAGGAGTTCTGCCTCTGCAGAATCGAGGAAGCGCAAAAAACCTAGAGCGTAGGTGCTATGATCTTGTCGCACCCCATAACCATAATCCCTCGGAAGCCCTTGATCCAACCCAAATTGTCGACCTACCCTGTGAGGGTTGTAAACCTTACTTACGCCCGAATGAGGGGGAAGAAGCGCGGGAAGATAGCCAAGCAGGGTCATGGCTATGATAGTCAGGGCTGGAGTACGTTTCAAAGACTTGCCCGAAATCATCATGCCGTCCTTCGACGCACAACACTCCACACGAGGTCCATGGGTGTATGGGCGAGCTACAAAGCAACTCTCCCTGTCAATAAACTCCGACAATTTCTTTTTCGTGCTAAGTTTGTGCCACTGGAAAGATCGCTTCAAGCCGTTGTCACGAGCCAACGTGGTTGGACGAGGACCATACTTTGGGAAGTGTTCGTACAAGAACATCTGAAGGAAAATTATGTTAACAGGAGAAACCACGGTCATGCGACCCACGGAGCGCTCCATGCGGGCATGCGCCAAGTCGAGCTCGTGGTAGAGAGTACCCAAGAACAGAACGGCCAAGGGCAGGTTTTTGCCATAAGATAGCTTGACGGCCAAAGGGATGAGGTCAGGACAAGGCCTGTTATCAGGAGGCCCCGGAAAAACAAATCTGGATAGCCATGACAAGATATATGCAGTAAGGCGAGCTGAATCCTTGCACTTCGGGCCACTGAAGAACTCCTCCTCTTCTTGACCCTGGGGGGGGGGGGGGGGGGAGTCTCGGAAATAATAACGCAAAAGTGATACAAACGTGCACTTCTTGCCCGTCTCCGGGAACTCCTCAAGAAGTCCAGTATCTTGAAATCGCGAGGCTATCTTACCTGCCGAGGTAACACCTTTGCGAAGCTTGGAGGCAAGTTTGACCTCGTCTTCAGGGATAGACCAAGAGCTAGGGTTATGCTCACCAAATACGTTCAAGCACATAAGCTGCACCACATCCTCCAAAGTAGGGGTGAATTCCCCCCAAGAGGTGATAAAGGTATGGGTATCTCGGCTCCATCGAGATAACAGGAGGGTGAGATCGTGGATATCCTGAGGCATGGTTAGCTCCCGAGTGTTTCGGATAGCGTCTGTAATTTTCGAAGCCTGCAAAATCCCTGAGAACTCACCATCAGATAGAATCGCGTCTGTCCACAACTCTCACTCTCTTCCATGACCGGTCTGACTCGTAAAGGCAATGTTGGAGTGAGGGAAGTCACCGCGCTCTACCCTGAATCGTAAAATCGAGTTGGGCTGAATGGGCGCCCCGGTGAGTGCATAAGGCTCTCCCTCGAACAAGAGTGTGCTTGCTGGAGCCTCATTAACCTCGCTTAATACATCACTGTTGACCCAGAAGGTGTCACTCAGACCGAAATATGGGGCAACTCACCATTCGTTCAAAGGAGGGATGTCAGGAACATCATCGTGAATTGCCATTGTCTTTTGTTTTGAACAGCAAGTCTTTTTGCGAGGAGTGAATAGGGATGAGTGGACAAGTGTTGTTATGTGCCTTTGAAAAAAAAAAATGTGTTTTGGAATGACTTAAATATGGGGGCTCGGCATCCCAAGCGTTGCGCCTCCGGCTGACGAAAGGACGCGACTCGAGACCCGAAACGTCTTAACCTGACATACCAATAAAAGGGTGACACGTAGATCGAGAAGCTAAAGCGACACGACCCCTGAAGTGATATAACTGTTTGGTACTTAAATGACATGACCCTTCAGTGGAAATAATAATGACAAAAAATTAAATTAGTGGTTTGCTCGAGCTCCCCTCTCGATGACCTCAAGCAGGGGGGCAAAATGTTGATGACCGCGCCACGACAGCTAATTAAGTGGCGCCACCTTTGCAATATAGGCACAACTGACCAGTGCTGACCTGGCGTGCCCATAATGGATTAGGTATTCTTGAGCTACCTATCCGATAACTGAACTCACTGGCCGAGGAAGGGGTCGCTACCCTTCCTCCACTGTGGACGCGCCCCGCTCCAGTTGGATGGGCTCTTCCCCCCCCCCCCCCCCTGGCTCGTTCGAGGACGCTATCTGAAAGAGTGACCTCGACTAACCTGTTTACACACTTCTCGTCTCGGCAAAGAGGACCTCAGGATAAAATTGGGATAGGATCTTGCGAGGTCATGAAGGCAGGACCTCGAAAGGGACCTATCCCCACTGAAGCACGGGAATCTGAGGACATGTGGATAGGTGGCTGAGATCCAAGGGGTTGCCTCAGCCCGAGGCCAACATAAGGGGGGAATGATACTTGGTACCTAAGCTCGAGCAATGAAGGATAAGAAACGCATTAATTGTGAAAGACGTTTGATGAGACCCATATTAATTAAGGAGCACCATTACCCCCTTTAACCGGGGGGGCAAAGCGCCGCGGCCCATCCATCAATGTCTCATCCGTCAGAAGAAGAGACCATCAAGCCTTTGGATAAGAGCGGGCTCAGCTAAAGGACCAAAAGACATTGACCGAGGAGATAAACACTATAAATAGGGGTGTTAATCAGCCTTTAAAGAACAACCACCACATTAATATCTATCTTTGGATAAGCTCGAGCTCACATGGTACTGAGGCCGGCCTTCCCTTCTTAATCTCCTCACTTAGAGAATCCCTTATGTTGCTTGGATCTCCACTTGGATACTGATCTCAGATCTCTTGGCTTACGTGGAATGATCTCCTCGTCCTGCTCACGAACTACCATCAACAATATGTAAGCGGTGAACCAATGTGATCGATTCGTTGATTGATATAAAAGTCGGTGCAGAGATCATAGTTAGCAACAACATTTTCTCTCTCATACTTGCATCTTGTATTATTTTAGCCACTTATGTCTCTCTTCGGTGGTTTGAATCGATAATAGTAAAACAAAAAGAAGCCATAAGGCATTGTAGTACCGTCCCTGTGCTTAGTCCATTGTCGCTTCAAAGTTCAAATGGCAGTGGATTGACCTTCAATGAACATCAACATAGACTGGGCAAGTATAGAACTCTCTCGTCTCTCTGTTTTTGCCCTCTGACTCATGTCTCTAGTTAACTTCATTCAAGATTCATTTACTTTATGGCAGTAGTTCCTTGTAAATTTTATATATATATATGTATATATATTCTGAAAATTACTAATATTTGGTGTTAGCAGGAAATTTATTCTTGCGTGTATTGAATTCTATTGTTCATCAAACAAGCAATTGATCAGTGGTTCTAATTAACGTGATCATTCCAAATTTCTTATTCTTTTTAGGGGAGAGCTTTGAGGAATGTGCAGACAGAGAAGTGGAGGAGGCAACTGGTTTACTCATTGAGAAAATCAAGTTTTTAACAGTCACCAACAATGTCTTCTACAAAGAAGGCAAACCAGTACATGCCGTCATCATATTCATGCTTGCAGCAGTCTCGGCACATCCCCAACAATTGCCGCAAAATATTGAGCCTGATAAATGTGATAGCTGGGATTGGTATGATTGGAACAACCTCCCACAACCACTGTTTGGACCGTTAGAAAAATTGGTGGGTGCTTTTGATCCTTTCCCATCTGAGAAAATTTGATAAAAGAAATTGCTCAGCCACTTGAAAATAGTTTGAAAAAACGTGTATGGATGATCCCTCCTGTCAACTTTGTGACTTGTTAATCGATCAATGATAGTAATTGCATGAATAGTGTTTACTAATTCTATTGATGCATCCTAAATTTTGATGGTTTTATATGTAATTTATTGATAGTTTTTCTAGTTATCTGTATGGTAAAAATGTAGCTCTGATGTTCACTTTTGGTGAAGTATATTGCTGTAGCAATGAACAAAAACAAAGGTTGCCTATCTGACGCTTCAAGTGATGCAGAGCTACTAGAAACTGGGACTTTCAATTTTAAGCAGCATTGAGGAAAGTTATTGCTAGTGATATGTCCTCAATCTTCCAAAGTGAGATCAAGTTTCCGTGAACGTGCCCCTTAAGGACTAAGGGCAAGCTAACTTTGCAAGCGGTCATGATAAATTTAAAAGTAACGCTCCTAAGAGGACTCTTTCACGAGAAAAAATGTATTAAATAATTAATTTGACATAGTATTAATGTGACATGTCTTTTATAATATTATAAAAGTAAAAAAAAAAAGAAAATAATAACAAAACAATTAATTCATTTTATTACATAAGTCAAACTCATTCCAAGTCCTTACTTATTTCAATATAAATAATTCAATTATTGTAAATCTTGACCTAAATTACGTAATTCTTCTCCACATGTATCATTTTCACGCTTTCAGCGTGCTTATGCCGGCTTAATTATGGCGCTCTCTTACTTTCACCCCGCTTTATGTGACTTAGATCTTGACGACTAAAAAGAAGTAAGTAGGAAATTTCTCCCCTTGAATTTTTTAAATTATCTATTTATGAAAGCAAACATGTTAGGTAGTGGGCCGCCATTTTGGACCTGGGCATTGAACACGGGCCCCAACTTTTCTACGTGTAGCCCAAGTAACAAAGTCCACGTCAATGGCGGGAAAAGAGTTTGGTGGACTTGGCGAAAAGAATTCTTCCACTAAAGGCAGTGGTGGTTTGACTATAATTTAACCAGTACAGTTTGTGTTGTGACTAATTGACTATGAGAGCATAAAAAGAAGAACCTGTGCGGGTGGTGGGTCAGACCTACACCGAAATGGAGAACAGTCCGCCGTCGCCGGTGCCGAAAGTTGGGGTGGCGGTGTTCCTATTGAAAGACAAGAAGGTGTTGCTTGGACGGCGGAGATCCTCCGTTGGCCACAACAAATTTGCCCTTCCCGGCGGCCATCTCGAGTTTGGTCAGTCCCTAATCTATATATCTATATATGCACACTCAAATACATACATATATACTGCTAAGCACACACCGTATGCATACACACACGCAAACACAAATATACATCCACACAGAGCATTCTATTATATTCTGAATATTACTAAGTGCCTGCATATATGGCACTGTATGTCGATAATAGTATGTTGTTCTCAAAAAAGAAGAAAAATTGGGAGGAAAAAAAAAAAAAAACCACTAAATTAAATAATTATTAGCATAGTGTTTCCTGGAAACAAGTCAAAATTGGCTGCTTTTTTCTTTTCTTTTTTTCCTTCTTATTTTCAAGAGCAAAGTCATTTGGTCCAAGTGATTTTCCATTTTGAATTTTTTGGTAATAAAATTGAAAATTGAAACATAATTTTGAATGAGCTGAATTTGCTTCATGGGTAATGTGGATGATGATGAATCGGAGAAACAGAGAAAGAGAACTTTTACCATATATGATGAGTTTAACAAGTTTGCAAGGCTATTGGAAAATTTAAATTGTAGCGCTCCATGTGTTCGACATAATGCTCAAATACGAAGTCCTCAAAAGAGATGAGTTCGGTGGTTTAATGGAAAAATCTGATTGAATTCTTAAAACCTTTTAAATTGCTAATAACTCTGACTGAATATTGGGAGTAACTTATCAGATTAATTTTAAATAAATTTTTCGGCATTTTACTTTTGTAACTTAGTTTTGCCAATCTGTTAAATTTGCCATCAGCCTATAATTTGGATTTTTACGGCAATACTCAACATCTAAATTATATATAATTGTAATTAGGAGGCTACTTGACACATTGAGAAGTTGTATTAATCCTTACTCTACAGGTTACAACTCAACTCAACTAAGTCTTGTACTAACTATTTGGATTCGGTTACACTAACCCCATTTCATCATTATACTCTACCTCGTAACTTCTATTAAATCATTCATTACTATCTCACTTGTATTGCTTTACAAATTACATTTTGCGAAATTATTAGGGAGATTGAGGCTTCTAATTTTGGATCTTATATGACAATAAAGATGTCAGCCAAGATATGTTGGTAGATGATTTTCAAGTTTCAACCAATGATTCCGTTGAAGATAGAAAATTTGGTAGTTGATCATCATATGGAAGGTTAAGAATAATTATACATAAGCGGGGTAACCTGTGTGGTTCATTGATTGATATAAAAGTCTGTGTAGAGTAGCAACATGCTCTCTCATTCTTGCATCTTGTATTTTAGTTTTCCCCTTTGATTTAGGGCAGTTTTATGGACTTTTTTCGGATTGAGTTCTATCAAATCGTTTCGACTTGAGAATACTCATTCCCGATCGGAAACGATCCAATAATCAAAACCCGCTAGCTTTAGCTAGTGGCCCATGTCGTTTTTTGGCCAAATTCCAATAATCACGTGTTTTTAGTCCCTCAAGGAGATTGTTGAATATTTCGGTTTTTTAATGAAGGTCTAAACAAACTCAATTTTTTTTTGTATTTATCTTAGTTTAGTGATTAGGTTTTATCTCCTATTTTTAAAGTAATTTTTAAAGATAGTTCAGTTTTGGGCTTGTTTTAGGATTCTTTCTGTTGATAGGATTTATCTACCATAATACATTTTCCAGCAAGTGCAGTTGGGAACGATTCATTCATTATTGATTAAGAAAATATTAGAATTGATTTCTCTCAACTTTGTGGATTCAAAGTTGTTTCAGGATTCCTTTGTGACCGTTCATAGCTTCCACACCGTCTTCCTTATGCATCTTCAAGCATTAGCTCATTTAACTTTGAACCGTTTAGGATTTCGTGATCCGAAGTTCTGTTTAGCAACCTCTTCACCTTCTTTTGTAGTTTAAATTAAAAATAGTAAAAGTAACAGAAGCCCTAAGGCACTGTGCTAATGTCACTGTGCTGAGTCTATCATCACTTCAAATGGCAGTGGATAGACCTTCAATGAAGATCAACAGAGATTAGACAAGTATAGAATTCTCTGTGTAACTGTTTTTATTTACTGACTTAGGCTTCTGGACTGACGCCCTCTGATTCGTGTCTAATTAACTCTAGTCAAAATTCATTTACTTCTGTTTTTTCTTTTTTGGTTAGGTAAATACTCACACACGCCCACAATGCCCACTATGGGGCTCAAACCCCTTACCTCCTCTTTGAGGGAGGAGAGGTTATACCAGCTGGGCTAATGTACCACTACGGGGCTCAAACCCCTTGTAAATTATATATTTTTTTCTGAAATTTTGTAAAGTTTGGTGTTTAATTTCAAAATAATTAACTCTATGTTGGTAGCGTACACCAGGAAATTTATTCTTGCATGTATCGACTCAGTCAACCCATAAGGGCAAAATTTTAAGGAGCTAACATTAGACCCTAAGATAAGCCTAATTCCATTAAGTCAAACCTTTTATATCCATCAGTGGTTATAATTAACGTGATCACGTGTGCAACTAACACTCACTCTCACGTATCCCATGCCTCCTAGTTTTGCATCTAATTCCTAATTCACACTTGTTATCGAGATTATAGTGCAGTGTCGGGTTTATAGATATTCATCATGCCAACTTTCGGTATTTGGCTTTTTTTAGGGGAGAGCTTTGAGGAATGTGCAGCGAGAGAAGTGAAGGAGGAAACCGGTTTAGACATTGAGAAAATTGAGTTTTTAACCGTCACCAACAATGTCTTCTCTGAAGAACCCAAACCAGTACACATGGTCGTCATATTCATGCGTGCAGTCTTGGCAGATCCCCATCAATTGCCCCAAAATATCGAGCCTGATAAATGTGATGGGTGGGATTGGTATGAGTGGAACAACCTCCCAAAACCACTCTTTGGAGCGTTAGAAAAAATGGAGCAGGGTGGTTTTGATCCTTTCCCGTCTGATTGGAAATGATAAAAGAAATTGCTCTGCTACTTCCGGCTGCTTTCTAGGAATGTTATTGCAAGACCTATGAAACTAGGAATGTCCATCTTTTGTGGTTTGACAGTTCGAAAATTATGTATGGATGAACTCTCCTGTCATATATGTGACTGGTTAATCTATTAATGATAGTCGTTGCATGAATATTTGTTTACTATTTCCATTGATGCGTGCTAAATTGTGATGGATTTATATGTTATTTTGACACTAGGCTGGAAAACTATTGGTGTTTTGTATGAGATCAGAATTTCAACCTTATGGAGTAGATTGTAGGGATTTCTTAAATCCGCATTATTGTTTTCGCTTAACTGTCCTGAGAAATGAAAAAAATTATACTATATAGCAAAATAATAATTGTAATAATAATAAGACAGAAGGTGTATGGTCGATGATAATGATCTTCTTGTGCTGCAAATATCTTGGACCTGTTTTTCTCCTCCCATATTACAAGGTCAGTAATTAAATATCTTCTTGAAGCATTGGTATGTACGAATCAGAATTACCATTGTTATCGCTGTTGTGAAAATCTGTATTTAAGGAGCATTTGAGTTTTTCTGGTCATCTGCACAATGTTGGTAAAAATGTAGGTGTGATGTTCACTTTTGGGAAGTATACGCGGTCAACAAAAACAAAGCCTGCCTCTATATGATGCATCAAGTGATGCAGAGCTACCCAGCACTGACCGGTTGCACAACCGGGGACTTACAATTTTAAGCAGCATTGAGGGAAGTTATTGAAGTAGAATGTTTCGGGGGCAGTTTCAACCTCGGACAAGCTGTTTTTGAACTGTTTTGAGTTGCTCCATGGTGGCACCGTGGCAGAAGTTAAGCATGGACATATAGGTTGGTTTGAAGAGAAAAACAGAGTGTTGATTTTCATGGAACAACTGCACCAATTCCACCTGGTTTGAAGAGAGGTGGTCCATGGACACAGCTATTCCCTGGATTGGACCAGTGCATGTCTATGAACCCACATATCATAGCTAAACTGGTTTTGGTCCCAGTTACATAAAAGATCAGTTTCAATCTATGAAATGTTCAAGTACAAAATTTTCTAAATCTTTAAATAGTTTTTTTGCAATCTCTTAATTGTTATTCTTATTGTTATTATTAGTATTATTAATTATTATGTTGTATATGGCATGTTGTGGATAAATTTGATTATATTGAGTAGTTTATGATTTAAAAGATAATTTTAAAAAATACTCTATCTAAGGGCAAAATAATTATTTCAGTAGTAAAAGAGTTTCCGTCAATGTTTTGCCAAACAGATTGAAAAACTCTTCTGCCATTAAAAGGTATTCTAAAATACAATTTCCAAACACTAACAAATAAACTAAGTAAAAATGATACATTCTGCTTCTCTTTTTCTTCTGCGTAAAAACAGAAGCAAAAGTTATGCCAAACGAGCCCCAAGTCAAACCCATTCCTAGTCCTTTAACTTATTTCAATATAAATACTTCAATTATTGTATATCTTAACCTAAGTTATATAATCATTTTTAACATGTATTACTTCCACTCTCCGAATGCACGCACTTTCTTTCAAATTCTCACGGCTTATGATTTAATTTTGTCATTCTTACGCTCCCGCTCTCGAATTCGCTCTCGCTCCCGCTTTATCTGACTTAGATCTTGACACAACACCTGTAAAGACTAAAAGAGATGCATGAAGGAAATTTCTCCTCATGAATTTTTTTAAGAATAATGATACTTGTATCAATTTGTTGCACCGAATTGTTTCAATATTTCTGATTGGTTATTTATGCATAGTACATGTAAGTGGATTATGCATAAATAGACCGAATAAAATAAATAGGTTTGACAATTCATTACAACAAATAGCATAAATAAAGAAGTGAAACCCTCTACTTACATGTACTATGCATAAATAACTGATCACAAACATTCGGTGTAATAAATCGGTGCATGTATAATTACTCTTTTTTTTTAATTATTTTTTTTATGGCAGCAAACATGTTAGGTACTGGGCCACCATTTTGGACCTGGGCATTGAACATGGGCCCCAACTTCTTCTGCGTGCAGCCCAAGTAACAAAGTCCACGTCAATGGCGGGAAAGAGTTTGGTGGACTTGGCGAAAAGAATTCTTACACTAAAGGCAGTGGTGGTTTGACTATAATTTTACCAGTACAGTTTGTGGTGTGACTACGAGAGCATAAAAAGAAGACCCGGTGCGGGTGGTGTGTCAGATCTACACCGAAATGGAGAACAGCTTGCCGTCGCCCGTGCCGAAAGTTGGGGTGGCGGTGTTCCTATTGAAAGACAAGAAGATGTTGCTTGGACGGCGGAGATCCTCCGTAGGCCACAACAAATTTTTCCTTCCCGGCGGCCATCTCGAGTTTGGTCAGTCCCTAATCTATATATCTATATATACACACTCAAATACACACATATATATTGCTAAGCACACACCGTATGCATACACACACGCAAACACAAATATACATCCACACAGAGCATTCTATTATATTCTGAATCTTACTATCTAAGTGCGGGCATATATATGATACTGTATGTCGATAATACTCTGTTGCTCTCAAAAAAGAAGAAAAATTGGGAGAAAAAAAAAAAACCCACTAAATTAAATAATTATTAGCATAGTGTTTCCTGGAAACAAGTCAAAATTAGTTTTTTTTTTTTTTTTTGTTCAAGAGCAAAGTCATTTGATCCAAGTGATTTTGAATTTTGAATTTTTTGGAAATAAAATTGAAAAATGAAACATAATTTTGAATGAGCTGAATTTGCTTCATGGGTAATGTGGATGATGAATCGGAGAAACAGAGAAAGAGAACTTTTACCATATATGATGAGTTTAACAAGTCTGCAAGGCTATTGAAAAATTTAAATTGTAGCACTCCATGTGTTCGACATAATGCTCAAATACGAAGTCCTCAAAAGAGATGAGTTCGGTGGTTTAATGGAAAAATCTGATTGAATTCTTAAAACCTTTTAAATTGCTAATAACTCTGACTGTATATAGGGAGTGAAGTATCAGATTCATTTTAAATAATATTTTCTGCATTTTACTTTTGTAACTTAGTTTTGCCAATCTGTTAAATTTGCAGAATTCCATCAGCCTATAATTTGGATTTTTACGGCAATACTCAACATCTAAATTATATATAATTGTAATTAGGAGGCTACTTGACACATTGAGAAGTTGTATTAATCCTTACTTTACAGGTTACAACTCAACTCAAGTAAGTCTTGTACTAACTATTTGGATTCGGTTACACTAACCCCATTTCATCATTATACTCTACCTCGTAACTTCTAGTAAATCATTCATTACTATCTCACTTGTATTGTTTTACAAATTACATTTGCGAAATTATTAGGGAGATTGAGGCTTCTAATTTTGGATCTTATTTGACAATAAAGATGTCAGCCAAGATATGTTGGTAGATGATTTTCAATTTTCAAGATTCCGTTGAAGGTAGAAAATTTGGTAGCTGATCATCATATGGAAGGTTAAGAATAATTATACATAAGCGGGTAACCTGTGTGGTTCATTGATTGATATTAAAGTCTGTGTAGAGTAGCAACATGCTCTCTCATTCTCGCATCTTGTATTTTAGTTTTCCCCTTTGATTTAGGACAGTTTTATGGACTTTTTTCGGATTGAGTTCCGTCAAATCGTTTCGACTTGAGAATACTCATTCCCGATTGGAAACGATCCAATAATCGAAACCCGCTAACTTTAGCTAGTGTCCCATGTTGTTTTTTGGCCAAATTCCAATAATCACGTGTTTTTAGTCCCTTAAGGAGATTGTTGAATATTTCGGTTTTTTAATGAAGGTCTAAACGAACTCTATTTTTTTTTTTGTATTAATCTTAGTTTAGTGATTAGGTTTTATTTCCTATTTTTAAAGTAATTTTTAAAGATAATTCAGTTTTGGGTTTGTTTTAGGATTCTTTCTGTTGATAGGATTTATCTACCATAATACATTTTCCAGCAAGTGCAGTTGGGAACGATTCATTCATTATTGATTAATAAAATATTAGAATTGATTTCTCTCAACTTTGTGGATTCAAGTTTCAGGATTCCTTTGTGACCGTTCATAGCTTCCACGCTGTCGCCCTTATGCATCTTCAAGCATTAGCTCATTTAACTTTGAACCGTTTAGGATTTCGTGATTCGAAGTTCTGTTTAGCAACCTCTTCACCTTCTTTTGTAGTTTAAGGCACTGTGCTAATGTCACTGTGCTGAGTCTATCATCACTTCAAATGGCAGTGGATAGATCTTCAATGAAGATCAACAGAGATTAGGCAAGTATAGAATTCTCTGTGTCTGTTTTTATTTACTGACTTAGGCTTCTGGACTCACGCCCTCTGATTCATGTCTAATTCACTCTAGTCAAAATTCATTTACTTCTGTTTTTTCTTTTTTGGTTAGGTAAATACTCACACACGCCCACAATGCCCACTATGGGGCTCAAACCCCTTACCTCCTCTTTGAGGGAGGAGAGGTTATACCAGCTGGGGTAATGTACCACTACGGGGCTCAAACCCCTTGTAAATTATATATTTTTTTCTGAAATTTTGTGTAGTTTGGTGTTTAATTTCAAAATAATTAACTCTATGTTGGTAGCGTACACCAGGAAATATATTCTTGCATGTATCGACTCCGTCAACCCATAAGGGCAAAATTATAAGGAGCTAACATTAGACCCTAAGATAAGCCTAATTCCATTAAGTCAATTTTTTTATATCCATCAGTGGTTATAATTAACGTGATCACATGTGTGCAACTAACACTCACTCTCACGTATCTCATGCCTCCTAGTTTTGCATCTAATTCCTAATTCGCACTTGTTATCGAGATTATAGTACAGTGTCAGTTTATAGATATTCATCATTCCAACTTTCGGTATTTGGCTGTTTATAGGGGAGAGCTTCGAGGAATGTGCAGCGAGAGAAGTGAAGGAGGAAACTGGTTTAGACATTGAGAAAATTGAGTTTTTAACCGTCACCAACAATGTCTTCTCTGAAGAACCCAAACCAGTACACATGGTCGTCATATTCATGCGTGCAGTCTTGGCAGATCCCCATCAATTGCCCCAAAATATTGAGCCTGATAAATGTGATGGGTGGGATTGGTATGAGTGGAACAACCTCCCAAAACCACTCTTTGGAGCGTTAGAAAAACTGGAGCAGGGTGGTTTTAATCCTTTCCCGTCTGATTGGAAATGATAAAAGAAATTGCTCTGCTACTTCCGGCTGCTTTCTAAGTCACTTGATTATATAATTACATATATTATTGCAATACCTATGAAACTAGGAATGTCCATCTTATGTGGTTTGACAGTTTGAAAATTATGTATGGATGAACTCTCCTGTCATATTTGTGACTGGTTAATCTATCATAATAATTGTATGAATCTATGTTTACTAATTCTGTTGATGCGTGCTAAATTGTGATGGTTTTATATGTTCACTCTTGGGAAGTATATGTGGTCACTCTTGGGAAGTACATGCCTCTATATGATTCATTAAGTGATGCAGAGCTACCCAGCATTAACCGGTTGCATAACCGGGACTTCAATTTTAAGCAGCATTGAGGGAAGCTATTGAAGTAGAATGTTTCGGGGGCAGTTTCAACCTCGATCAAGCTGTTTTTTAACTGTTTTGAGTTGCTTCATAGTGGCACCTAGGCAGAAGTTCAGCTGGATATATAGGTTGGTTTGAAGAGAAAAACTGAGTGTTGATTTTCAAGGAGCAAATGCACCAATTCCACCTGGTTTGAAGTGGTCCATGGACACAACTATTCCCTGGATTGGGCCAGGGCATGTCTATGAACCCACATATCATAGCTAAACTGGTTTTCCTCCCAGTTACATAAATGATCAGTTTCAGTCTATGAATGATTTGTTGTCTAGGCTTTGCGTGTCTGGTGGTGAGTCCTTAAATATTAACATGACACCTGTCATTTATAATATTAAAAAGAAATTTGAAAAAGAAAATAATAACAAAATAATAATAATATATATATTTTTTTGGAACAAAATAATTAATTCACTATTCTCAAACCTGAACAACCCAAATCAGTGATCACAAATTAAAAAAAAAAAAAAATGCAAGCATGTTAGGTAGAGGTAGTAGTCTTTTCTTTATTTTGTTTAATTTTAAATTTTTTTATCTAAGCGAACATGTTAGTAGTCACTGGGCCACCATTTTGGACCCCAGTGTTAAGCATGGGCCCAACTTTTCTACGTAGAGCCGAGTAATAAACTCCACGCCATTGGCGGGAAAAACGAGTTTGGTGACTTGGCGAACAGAATTCAACTAAAGGCCGTTTGACCGTTCAGTTTTGTTGTGTTCCGAATCTCTTATTATGAGAGAATAATAAATATGACGCCTGTGGTGTGACAGATTCATCTACACGGAAATGGAGAACAACTCGCCGTCGCCTGTGCCCAAAGTTGGGGTGGCGGTTTTCCTATTGGAAGGCAGGACGGTGTTGCTGGGACGGCGGCGCTCCTCTACCTCCATCGGCCACAACACCTTTGGCCTTCCCGGTGGCCACCTCGAGTTTGGTCAGTGCCTAATCTATATATATATATATACACACACACATGTATACACAGACAAATACACTAATATACATTGAATGAGCTGAATTTGCTAAATGGGTAACTGGGATGGAAATGATCATGGGATGTATGTGGATGATGAATCCAACATAATGAATCTTAGAAATAGAGAAAGAGAACTTTTGCCGTATATGATCGATGAGTTTAAAATGTATGCAAAGCTATTGGAAATTTTAAATTCCTGTGCTCCACATGTTTGACATAATGCTCAAATACCAAGTCCTCAAAACATTCCAGATCGCTCTAATACTCCGATTTGGATAACTGATTAATGGAAAAATGATTGAATTCGTAAAACCTTTGAAAAATGCTAATAGTAGGGAGACTGAGGCATCTAATTTTGAATCTTATATATTGTACAATAAAGATGTTAGTGAAGATATATTGGCAGAAATGATTTTCTAGTTTCAAAGGGGTGAGCTGGGTTGGTAGAGGCACTCGCGTGAGTCGTGTGGGACTGTTGGAGCCCAGGTTCGACTCACCTCGTCCTCCTCCCTCCCCACTCCTTGCCAGGTAAAAAAACAAAAGAAAAAAAAAAGATTTTCTAGTTTCAACAAATGGTCCCATTGAGGATAGAAAATGAGGTAGTTGTTCAACGGATGGAAGGGTAAGTATAATTATACGTAAACAGAGAAGACTATGCTCTCTGATATTCACATCTTGTATTTTGTTAGACCCTTATGGATCTTCAGAAATTAGCTCATAGAACTTTGAACCTTCTAGGATTCTGTGATTTAAAGTTATGTTAGCAACCTCTCCAACTTCCTTTGTAACTTGAATTGAAAATAGTAAAACTGAAATAAGCCCCAAGGCACTGTGGTAATGTCCATCAACAGAGATTACACAAGTATACGACTCTGTGTGTGTGTGTGTGTGTGTGTGTGCGCGCTGTCTTTGGCTTGGACTAATGCCCTCTGATTCATGTCTAATTAGCTCCATTCAAGATTCATTTACTTCATGGTAGTAGTCCCTTGTAAATTTTATATATACATATTTCTTTTATGAAAATTAGTAACTGTTGGTGTTTATTTTCAAAATAATTAACTCTATTTTGGTAGCATACACCAGGAAATTTATTATTGCATGTATTGACTAGTCAATTGACTCAACCCATAAAGGAAAAATTATGGAGTATGGAACCCTAAGATAAGCCCTTTTTTTATTTTATTAAACAGGCGTTAGATCAGTGGTTATAATTTAACGTGATCACATGTATGCACAATTAACACTCACTCTCCTAATCATGCATCTAATTTCTAATTTGCACTTGCTATCGAGATTGTAGTGCAGTGTCAGTTTGTTTAGGTATTCATGATTCCATCTTTCTTATTTGTTTTTAGGGGAGAGCTTTGAGGAATGTGCAGCGAGAGAAGTGAAGGAGGAAACTGGTTTAGACATTGAGAAAATTGAGTTTTTAACCGTCACCAACAATGTCTTCTCTGAAGAACCCAAACCAGTACATATAGTCATCATATTCATGCGCGCAGTCTTGCCAGATCCCCATCAATTTCCCCAAAATATTGAGCCTGATAAATGTGATGGCTGGGATTGGTACGAGTGGAACAGCGATAACCTCCCAAAACCACTCTTTGGAGCGTTAGGAAAAATGGTGCAGGGTGGTTTTGATCCTTTCCCATCTGACTGAAAATTGTAATAGAAATTGCTCTGCTCTACTTATGGCTGCTTTCTATGTCACTTGATTATATACCATATATTGTTGACAGTTTGAAAATCATGTATGCCGTCCTGTTATTTTTGTGACTGGTTAATCTATTAATGATAGTTGTTGGATGAATATTTGTTTACTATTTCCATTGATGCATGCCAAATTTTGAATGTTTTATATGTTATTTTGACACTAGGCTGGAAAACTTGTGGTGTTTCGTATGAGATCAGAACTTGAAGCATATGGTGGAGTAGATTGTAGGCATTTAGTAAACCCACATTATTGTTTACCCTTGACTATGCTTTGAAAAAAAAAAAAAAAAAAGGTTGAACCCTAGGTTATCACCAAATTGCACTCCCATGAGCAGAGGTGGTCCATGGACTCTGAAAAATAGTTGAACCCTGGGTTAGACCTCTACATACCCGCCCTCCCCGCCCCGTTTAATAAACTGTTTTAGAAGGGGATGGGGGTAGCTATGCTAAACGGGGATGGGGCGCCCCAGTTTTGATCCCAGCAATACAAGTTTGTTTCAGTCTATGAATGCTTGTTCTCACGCACTATGACCTAATTAACCATCTAAACAATCTCTCCACCTTAAGAGAAAGAGTGCAGAGAAGAAATGGAGATTGTTTGATGCTGATGGAGAGAAAAAGAGCGGTGGATGACAGGGTTATTATTTTTTTATTATTATTGAACTGTAATCTTTTGGGCTGCTTGGGCCAAACTGGCTTTGTAAATTCCTTATATATATACACACACAATATTGCTTAACCATCTGAACTCCGAAAAAGAATAAAAAAAAAAAAGAAAAAAAAAAACTCGAGTTTTCTCACCTAAATTTGTATCCTAAATAATTTAAGATTAAAAAATTGAAAGGGTATTCTTTATTTATTTGGGAAAGTAAATTCGAATCTGCTTCTTTATTTATTTTTTCATGATTTAAAACTCAAGTGTAACAGTAGGTACAGTAAAATAAATTTAATTAATTTACGTAAAACATAATTATCCCAAACGCTCTGAATCTAAGACAGTGTCAAAATTAATAGTATTGACTCCTCTACAATAAAGCAAGTAGAATCGTTGGTCGGCTTTGAGTACTTTGATCATAATATGTTCTAAGTGGGATTCTGGCATGATATTTTAGTCAGTAAAAATTGATTAGCCAAAATTTTCCAAAACTAACCTTCACCACACAATTTAGTCATTGGGGAGACTCTGGCATGTACAACCAATTGGCTGTAACGCTTGATAAAGGGGTTAGGAAGGTAATATTGTTTCTGGATCCAGGAAACTGTTAAGCAAAATTAATTCGTTACGTCACAATTTAACAATAGATGAGAGTTAGATTAAGACTAAATTATTTAAGGTGCAATTTTTTAATAACGTGTTGGAAATTGTAGAGAGAAAAAATGAGAGATATTTTTAGAGAGTTTAGATATTTCTCGTTAAGTTTGAAGAATGTAAGGCCGTAAACTGATAATTCAAGTCATATGATACAATATTTTTTGTAGTTCTATTTAAACGGTTATTTCCTAAGTTGCAGACTCGATTTGTCTTGCCTTACTTGTATACCTTGTTTGTCACAAATTGATTCGTTACGTCACAATTCAACAGTTGATTAAAATTAGATCAAGACTAAATTATTTAAGGTGCTAAGGTTAGATCGAGACTAAATTATTTAAGGTGCAATTTCTCAACCACATGTTGGAAAAAGTAGGAAGAGAAAATGAGAGATATTTCTAAATAGTTTAGATATATCTCGTTAAGTTTGAAGAATACAAGGCCGTGAACTGATGATCCAAGCCGCATGATGGAACCTCTTTTTGTAGTTCTATTTAAACGTTTACATCATAATTAAGTCGCAGACTCAATTTGGCTTGTCTCACTTGTATACCTTGTCTGCCACAAATTGTAATTTTTCATAGTCTATCATCATCTATCATGGTGATCATGGAATATTATAGATTGAGTAGTCTTCAAGTACTTGTAGCTATGTACTTCATTGGATACATCACGTGGCAGCCGAATTCATTACTAGAAATACTGTTCAACAGTTCATGGAGGAATGCCTATTACCGATTCTTGGTTAATCTTTGTGACAAGATATACGTAATGGTTGTTGTTAACATGAACAGAATGAGCAGGAAGTTTCAGAGCAAGCAGGCATGATATTACTGAGTAAGAAAGCTTGGGTCATGGAGAATTTCAGGAATGGTAGGTGGATGTATCATCTTTGGCTATTGTTATTTATTTCTTGTTCTACCTTTTTTATTATGTTTATTATGCAACGTTTATGTATTCCACTTCTACATATTTTTTTCCTTTAATCCTTACCATGTCTTTATGCATTTTCACTTTTTAATCTTTTTTTTTCCTGAAGTTTACCCTTTCTTACCAGAGGAGTTAACTTTTTATAATGCCCATACACCTTGTTATTGTTTTCTGCTTCTTTCACCTTGTCATTGTTTCAGCTTCAAGCCCATACACCTTGATCAAATAGCACAACTGTTTGAAAAATTGAAAATAGAGGGGCTACCACAACTATTATTGTTTTCTGCTTCTTTCACATATGTTTTTTATTATATATATTTGGAATAATGATGACCTTATTCTAGTATAGCTAGGGCTTTAAGTTGGTCAGGCCCAACTCAGCTCGGTTCTAGCACGATCTTAACCCGAAGTAAGGGTTGGGTTGGTGGCCCGATGTTCAAAAAAGTTGGGCCCATGTGTTCAAGTCACACGGGCTGACCCGTTCAACCACAATTTTTTTTTTTTTTTTACTTAATGCAATCTTTCTTTTCCCAATTTCAAATTTTTCAAAAAATTTTAATTCATTAATATTTTTTTTAAAAAAAATCTTATTAAAATATTAGTATTGTGACTGAAGTATTAATTATTAATTTGATTGTTTATATACAAAAAAAAAAATTCTTTATAATGCCCCCTAAACTTTTTAATTTCTAAAATTTTCTTCTTTACTTTTTACTTTTTAGATTCCTTTAATTTCCTTAAAGGAGAAGTTAAATTTCCTTTCTTCATTTAGACTCTAAATTTTTTTTTCCTTTAAAGATCTCTCATTTTTCTTCATTTTTTTTCCTGCTTCATAAAATTCTTTTTTCTTTCCCTATATGTAACTTTGGTTACCATCTTCTTATTCTTTTTATCTATTTCTCTTATTTAAATCTAATATTGTAATTTTATGAAGTCAGTAGGGGGTAATTTCATACATGGTTTTCCAAATAACAAGATTTACAACTCTATTCAATGAAAATATTAACAAAAATCATAGTAATTCTGCAATGAATTTATTTTTTTCTTTGCCCTTTGATTTCAAGAATTTATATGTCATATGAATTTTTTTTGCGCGGGAAGTTTCAGGGCAAGCATGCATAATATTATTACTGAATAAGAAATCTTGGTGTAGAATCTTATGAATATTAGTTGTTACATCTTTAGCTATTGTTTTCATATTTGTTCTTCTACCATTTTTATGCTTATTACGCAATGCAACATTTCTATGTTCTTGCTTTTCTGTTTGTCCGCACTTTATCTTTATTTTCCTCGATTTGCAGGCATCGTTTGCTCATGAATTGGGGAAGTTAGTGTGCAGTGAACCCGACATTCTCAAAAGAGATTCTCAGATTGTATACAAGGCTGCCTCAAGGAAGATGAGAGGGTTCCCAGATTGTAGAAATCCAAAAATGTGATTGTCCATGTCTAAAATTCCGGAGTTTTTGGCTTATTAGTGGTTGCTCTGTTTCTGTCATCTTGCATATAAATATGTTCTTAAAGTTGAATGCTTTTGTTATGGGCACTGCCGGTTAGGCTATTTTGCTCTGTAGATTTCTTTTGGCTTTTGTTTTGAGCTGTGGTTGATGTCTATTGGAGTTAGTTTAGTGAGAAAACTAAGTTTTTTTTTTTTTTGAAGATATGTGCAGTTTAAGTAAGATTAGGGAAGATCACAGGAGGAAAATGTGCTGCTAATGAAAGACATTTTCATTCTTGTTTTCACTTGACTTTTCGCAAAATTGATTCTCATTAATTTTGCACATGTTTTACTCATTATGTAGACATATTTTCTTTGATATCTTCCTTTTTAGTTTTATCATAAAAATTTCATGTTTTAAATGTGCTACAATGATGAATTGTTTGTGCGGCCATATAAAGTATTAGTATTCATTAAAAAAAAATTAAAAAAATTATGTTAGGTAAAGTTATGGAGTCACTGTTCTTGATTTTGTTTGTTTTGGCCCTTGGAGTGGAAGAAGATTGTATCCTGAAATGAGATATAAGTCTGTGTTTTGTTGGGTCATTTGAAAAACCCCAATCAGTGACCTGAAATTTTCGTAAAACAAAAACCAAATGTTGGGTAGTAGTCACCGGATCAACTTTGGTGTATCAAAATGGTACGATTTTGGTACACCGGCGCGGAGCCTAACACAGAATCTAAGTCGAGTTCCATGGCAGTGTAAAAAAAGGGCATCATTTTGGTGCACAAGACCGCACAGAGAGGGGATCCTTTTCCGAAAAGAAGAACAGCTGCCGGTGGTGTGTCAAGTCTACACCGAAATGGAGAACATGTCGCCGCCGTTGCCGGTGCCGGAAGTTGGGGTGCAGGTGTTCCTATTTAAAGACAACACGGTGCTGTTGGGACGGCGGCGCTCGTCCATAGGCCACCATACCTTTGCCCTTCCCGGCGGTCATCTCGAGTTTGGTCAGTCCCTAATCTATATGTATATAAATATATTATACACACACACTTAGATACATTCATAATTCGTAAACATATACACACACCCATATGCATCTACACAGATCATTCTATTATATTCTTGGAATCTTTGGGGCCTTTATATTTGGTACTGTATCTTGATAATACTCTGTTGTTTTCAAAAAAACTGAAAAAGGAACACCTAAAAAAACTTATCATAGTGTTTCCAGTAAAGAAGTCAGAATTAGAAGAAAAAAAAAATTCTAGAACAAAGTCATTTGGTCCAAGTGAATTTGAAATTTTGGGAAATGAAATTGAAAATGGAAACATAATTTTGAATGAGCTGAATGTGCATAATGGGTAATGTGGATGATGAAACTGAGAAACAGAGAAAGAGAATTTTTACCATACCTGATGAGTTTACTAAGTCTGCAAAGCTATTGGAAATTTCAAATTGTAGCGCTCCATGTGTTCGACATAATGCTCAAATACCAAGTCCTCAAAAGGGATGAGTTCACTCTAAGATTCATTGGGTGATTGATTTTATGGACAAAAGATTGAATTCTAAAAACCTTTGAAAAATGAAAAATGTAATAACTCTGACTGAATTTTCAGAATCAATTATCAGACTAGTTTTAAATAATTCTTCTGCATTTTACTTCTTTAACTTAATTTAGTCAGTTGGTTAAATTTGCATAATTCAATCGGTCTATAATTTCGGTTTTTTATAACAAAACTAAACAGTTAAGTTACATAATTGTAATCAGGAGGCTACTAGGCTACTTGACACTTTACAACTCAACTCAACAAAATCTGGTACTACCTATTTGAATTCAGGAGGTCATAACTTCAACTAAACCAGTTGTTAAATCTCTCACCTTACTAGTTCACTCGTATTGCTTTACAAATTATATTTCTAAAATTCAGTAGGGTGATTGACCCTTCCAATTTTGAATTTCATTTTACAATTAAGATGTCATCGAAGCCTTATTGGCAGATGATAGTCAAGTTTCAACCAATGATTCCATGGAAGATACAAAATGTGGTTAAGCATAATTATATGTAAACGGTGGACCTGTGTGATTCATTGATTGATATAAAAGGTGTAGAGATCATTATTAGCAACAACATGCTCTCTCATACTTGCATCTTGTATTTTTGTTAGTCCCTTTTGGATCTTCAAGCATTACCTCATTCAACTTTGAACCTTTAGTATATTGTGTGATTTGAAGTTATGTTTTAGCAACATCTTCACATTCTTTTTTAATTTGAGTTTGAAAATAGTAAAACTGTAATAAGCCCCGAGGCACTGTGGTAATGTCACTGTGCTTGTCCACCGTCACTTCAAATGGCAGTGGATTGACCTTCAGTGAAGATCAACAGAGATTTATTAGTCAAGTATAGAACTCTCTTGGTGTCTCTGTTTGTGTTTGTGTGCTGACTTAGACTTGTACTCATGTCGTCTGATTAATGTCTAATTAACTCCATTCAAGATTCATTTACTTTATGAGGAGTTCCACATATATATATTTTTTTCCTTTCTGAAAATTACTAACTTTTTGTGTTTAATTTCAAAATACTTAACTCTATGTTGGTAGCATACACCAGGAAATTTATTCTTGCTTGTATTGACTTAGTCCAACCTATTAAGGCAAAATTATAAGGAGTTAACATTGGAGCCTAATTCCATTAATTCTATTTTTTATTGAACTGGCGATTGATCAGTGGTTGTAATTAACATGATCTCATGTGTGCAACACTCACTCACTCTCAAGTGTCTCATGCCTCCTAATTTTGCATCTAATTGCTAATTTGCACTTGTTATCAAGATTGTAGTGCAGTGTCAGTTTATAGATATTCATCATTCCAACTTTCTTATTTGTTTTCAGGGGAGAGCTTTGAGGAATGTGCAGCGAGAGAAGTGAAGGAAGAAACCGGTTTAGACATTGAGAAAATTGAGTTTTTAACGGTCACCAACAATGTCTTCTCTGCAGAAGCCAAGCCAGTACATGTTGTCGTCATATTCTTGCGTGCAGTCTTGGCAGATCCCCATCAATTGCCGCGAAATATTGAGCCTGATATGTGTGATGGCTGGGATTGGTACGAGTGGGACAACCTCCCAAAACCACTCGTTGAACCGTTAGAAAAAATGCTGCAAGGTGGTTTTGCTCCTTTCCCATCTGAATAGATGATAAAAGAAACTGCTCTGCTTTGCTTCCTGCTGCTTTCTATGTCACTTGATTATATACCACACATTATTAAAGGACCTATGAAACTAGGAATGTCCACCTTATTAGGTTTGACAATTTGAAAATCATGTATGGATGAAGCTTCCTGTCAACTTTGTGACTGGTTAATCTATCAATTATAGTAATTGCTTGAATATATGTTTACTATTTCTATTGATGTGCTAAAATTTTGATGGTTTTATATGTAATTTTGGCACTAGGCTTGAAAACTTTTGGTGTTTCTTATGAGATCAGAACTTCAAGCTTATGGTGGAAATCCACATTATTGTTACCACGGTCATCTCTGTTATTAAAATCTATTTTTAAGTAGCATGTGAGTTTTTCTAGTTATCTGCAAGATTTGGATGGTAAAAATGTAGCTGTGATATGCGCTTTTGGGAGAGTATATGCAGTAAGTCTACATGATGCAGAGCTGCTTAGCACTGTCCAGTTGCAAAACCGAGACTTACAATTTTAAGCAGCATTGAGGAAAGTAATTGAAATAGAATGTGTCTTGGCAGTTTCAACCTCGAGCTATTTTTGAACCTTTTGAGTTGCTGACATGCAACAGGCAAACCGTGGCAGAAGTTCAGCTTGGATAGATTGGTTTGAAGAGAAAAAGAGTGTTGATTTTCATGGAACCAATGCACCAATTCCAGAGAATGCCGATGAGCAACTTTGGGTCAGAGCCACCAAATTATTATTCTAGCATGAACCTGTTGAACTCCTTCCCAGAATTCATCACCAAAGTGCACTCCCATGAGCAGAGGTGGTTGATGGACACTGATGAATAGTTGAGCCCTGGATTAGACCTCTGCATGTCTGGTGACACACATAGCTAATCCGGTTTTGATCCCAGTTACACAAGTGAGTTTCAATCTATGAATGAATTAAGGCCTTACATTTCTTGAGACACACAGCTTCAGTAGTTTTAATCCCAGTTACATACGTGAGTTTCAATCTATGAATGAATTGAGGCCTTGCATTTCTGGTGACACATAGCTTGAGTACTTTTAATCCCAGTTACATTTTTTTTTTCCTGGCAAATTAGGAGGAGGGGACTCGAATATGGGCACACCCGCTTGCGGAGTTGGGCACTCTAACAACTGGGCCACTGGGTAATGCCCATCCCGTTACATATTTGGGCCACTGGGTAATGCCCATCCCGTTACATATTTGAGTTTCCTTGTCTTTATAGCGACTTTAAAGCTTTTACCTTGCTTGTAGCCAAATTTTTAGTAGTCACCTCAAGGTTAAGACTGGGCAAGTTGGGGCTTTAGGTTATGAGAGCCATATTTCTTCTTATTGATTTACGACAAGGAAATAACCACCTTCAGTACTATCTCTATCAATTGGTAGCTTCCCCAACTGATTAGTAGGTCAATCACGGATAGGTTGTTGATCCAAGCATATCAGCTTAGTATAAAAAATAAAAATGGGTTCACTCTTTGTTGTGTTTTTTCTACCTAAAGAAATTGTCCAAAAAAAAAAAAAAATTGTGCATTACCTACCCCATGTATGTCATGCTTGAAAGGGACATTGGGATAATTTTTTTTTTTTTTGGCAAACAAGCAAGCATTACATAGAAATACAAAACAAACCAGCCTTAGCCAACTCAATTACAGATGAAGACACATGCTCTAACACCATATCAGGATGGCTAAGATTTCTCGAAATATTTGCAACCGCATGAGCAACAGAATTACCTTCCTGACAAATATGCGAGATGCTCGCCTCCTTAAACCAACTCAATGCTTCTTTGATATCAAAAATCAAAGCTGAGAGTTCTTTCGGATAAGTCACAACACCCAAAACTGCATCAACCACCAAATTTGCATCACATTCTACCCAAATTCATTGGAACCTAGATAATTGGCCCACCATAAAGCCCAAGGCACACAATGAGCCTCAACACAAGCTGCAGATACAACAAAAAATGATTTCAAAGTAACCACATCACTTATAGACCCGGCTGAATCCCTGAACACAACTCCACCACCCGCGGCTCGTGACCTTTTACAAAACCAGGCATCCACATTACTCTTGATCCAACCATCCTTTGGAGGCTTCCTTAACTTATGAGTTTGCAAAAATTGAAAATCAGTATGCAATCGTCCTCTCCGATTTTGAGCCTCCATAAATTTTGAAAAGCAAGAACAAGCAATCGCTGTCACTTGCCAAGGATCTTTTTTTCTCTGCTCAAAACAAAAAGAATTACGCTCTTTCCATAATGTCCAAGTACAGAAAGAAGCTAAGCCCATCCGTTGAACACGCAGTTCTTTCAATAGTGATCCAGAAGCCAAACTCTTCCACCATCCCGCAAATGATGGAATATTCACACCACAAAAATCTAAACGAATGGGAGAAATTCTACGGATTTTAAAAGCATTGTCCGTTGGAAGCACTTCCAAACAACATTGGGATAAAAAGACTAGATACAAACTTATGGATTGGATGGTCTATCACTGAAAAACAAAAAAAAAAAAAAAACTTTTCAAAAATCCGAATAACAGAATTAAGTGAATTATAAAAGACAATTATTTAAAAACAAGTTTTTTTTTAAAATTTTCAGAAACTGTCAATCAAATAAGTTTTTATACAATTTTTTTATTTTCAATACTCAGAAAACTTAACCACACAAACCCTTGATAAGTGTTGGACGGTTAACTTGTAACATTTTTTTTATATTGAGAATTTGTGCAGGGTTTAAATATTTGATGTGCTTCATAATCTTATCTTCCATGACCTAATGTAAGAATTTCCAATTAACTTGCCACCTATCCTTGTATTGTTAAACTATTCAGTGCCTAAAGTCATATGTTTTATTTAGTTTCAGCTTTAATGGTTGTAGACCATGATTGATCTGACATAATAAAGCTTATTTAGTTTAGCATAGTTGGATTTAGATTATGATTAGTTCATCTGTGATTTTGATTAGGTCCCATGATAAAATGTTTCTTAACTTTCTTTTCATTAAACTAGTTCCACATGGGTTGATATGGTACTTATCATGCATCCTCAAAATTCAACCTGGTTTGACCTTTTAGCCCTCCTCAGGCACATGTGGCCCACATGCTGGTAGGTAGGACAAAACCTTTATTAGGTCCTTGCTCGGGCATCTACTACTATTCTTGACAATTCAATAGAGACCTAATCAATAGATCCAAAATGACTATTGGATCAGCACTATCAAGCCACATTCTTTATCTAGGTTGAAGTTTATTGGCTCAATGTTTATAATCGTGATTAGATGACCTTTTTGACATTGTAGCACCACTGAGTTTGAACAATAACCATGGAAGTGAGGTTAGGTGGTCAGTATTTAATGATTTTCATAAAAATCCAATGATGGAAGGTGAATTTCCAATTACTGTTCAATGGTCGTCTGGTATATTTGCAGTCCTTAAATTGAAAGTGCAATTGTTTATAGTTTATTCTTTGTCAGATAGGGATGTTATATTAAACAAACATTATTATTCATTCAGTAATTGTTATGAAACCAAACATATATATATATATATATATATATACACGGAAATTGAAACTTTCGTGGATATGAGTATGTTTGGAAATTATTGATGGACATTAGTGAGATGAAAAGATCTTTCTTTTTTTAAAAAGAAAGAATGAGTATTTGAGTCGTGTTAGGATAATATTGTGGGTGTGTACTCATTGTGTTGTGATTCTCTATTATTAGAGTACGGTGTTATAATAGCAGGAATGTTGGCTACGACGGCTAGTATCATTTACACGTGTGGGCTCACCACTTGTATGAATAATCATGGTCGTTCATTACAGTATAACACGTTATACTGTAGAGAATCTGGGACAAACACCTATTTACTTGATCTTCTAAAACTTTATATTATGTAAAATTTTGCACGATTCGGAGTCGTGGCCTTTTCTGCAAGAGAATAAAAGTAATCGATTCATTTTCCTTCTCCATCGCGAATTAAAATTCATTGAGAAAGATAGCAATAGTTTTCTTACTTCTTGAAATTTATGTGCATCATTTGAATCTCTGTGTTACATGTATTTTTTAACCGGTTGCATATCCCGTGTGTGTGTGTGTTAATAAATTGCGAAAAAAAAAAAAAAAAAAAAAATTCTAGAGCAGCACATTGGGAACAACACGAATAGATATTGAATGTGCCGAGCATACCATATTATAAGTGTACCAACTCAATATCAGTTCATTATTATTTGAAAAAAAAATTAACCTACCTTCTTATAAAATTGTTGATAACAAAATAATATATTATGTTTCAGGCGCATCTGATATCTACTCGAACAATAGAGTAAGACTGTGAGGGGAGCCCAGAATCTAGTTAACTTGTGGATGTAACAGAGCAATGTGGGTAGTTGCACATTGGGAGCGACAATGAGGCTAGTGATTTCACTAATGTCAAGACGATACCAGAAGGGCAGTGACACTAGACAACACTAAGGTAGGTGGCTAATAGTGGCTCATGAAAATATGTGCATTGGTGCACTGGTTGGTGGTGGGGTTAAGTTTTAGTGTGGTATGAAATGGACTAAAGTATGTTAGGGGTGGTCTGGTCCGGTCCTATCCTGACCCTGGTGGGTAAGTTTTGGTGTGTCCTCACCTACTCTTTAACTGTTTCCAATGCAACTCTCTCCTTATTCTCTCCTCAGCCCCCACACCCCAGAAAAAGATATAACACAAATCCTTGTCTCCTCTTATTCCACTATTCTCTGTCCCCATTCAAAACACTCCTCTGCACTCTGTCCCCCCCCCCCCCCTCTCTCTCTCTCTAACTTTCTCTCTCTAAACTCCTTTTTCCTGTTACAGGTAGGTGGGGCTGCTCAACACCCTTTTGTCAGGATTCTCACATTGACAGTCACCCAGTGCTGACAAACAAACAGGCTATAAGCAAACAATAAATCAGCTCACACAACCACAGCACATAGCACTAACAAGTCTCAATCTTTTTTTCTTCATCAAACTCTTTTTTCTCTCTACACAGTTCTCTTCATCACCCATATTCAAAAAAGTTGGTTTCTTTGTGTTTTCTTTTTGGCTTTTCCAGGATGAAGACAATCATGGCCAAGACCCCTCATGACTCTTCCTTCTCATTCTCTCGCAGATACTTCCATTGGAAAAAGAAGTCCATTGAAGATGATGAAGACGACATTGAAGAAATTCTAACTTTCAGCTCCTCCTCTCAGGAGGAGCAAACAACAGTACTGAATACTACTACTACGACTACTACCGTTTCAGTTTTGAAATCACCCAAGAAGAAGCTCTCTGTTGTGGCTATTTCGAAGCTCAGATCAGCACTTACTATTTTTAGTAAGGGCCAACGGTCACATTTGTCCTCATCGGCCAGAATGGTGGGCACTCTGTTTGGGTACAGGCGTGGACATGTCCATTTTGCATTTCAAGAAGATCCCAAATTGAATCCGAGCTTCTTGGTCGAGCTTGCGATGCCCACGAGCGTTCTGGTTCGAGAAATGGCCTCTGGGCTGGTCCGGATTGCGCTGGAGTGTGACAAAAAAACAGAGAAAAAGGGCGGGAGGCTGCTGGATGAGCCCCTTTGGAGGACTTACTGCAATGGCAAGAAATGCGGGTTCGCGACGCGGCGCGAGTGCGGACCCGAGGAGTGGAAGGTGCTGAAGGCCGTGGGGCCGGTGTCAATGGGTGCCGGCGTGCTGCCGGGAACGGGGATCGGGAATGGAGATGGGTCGGAGGGGGAGCTGATGTACATGAGAGCCAAGTTTGAGAGAATTGTGGGGTCCAAGGACTCTGAAGCCTTTTACATGATGAACCCTGATGGGAATGGGGGTCCTGAACTTAGCATTTACTTGCTCAGAGTTTGATGTTTGAGTATCATTTCATCAAAATTGGTACTTCTTGTGAGCTTGGAAATTTAAATGTTTTTAAGGGATATATATATATATATATTTTAGACATGAGATAATGGAGGTTTGGTTTTGGGAATGGGGACTAGTATGGGGTTTAACTTTTGTACTGTGGGTTACAAATGTTTAGGTAGAGATGGGTGGTGGGGTATATCGATCTATATGTACAGGCTCTCTTTTATCTCTTTCTTTCTCCTTGAAATGAAAACAACAGAACCTTGCACTGCAGTTTTCATGTGTTTACATGTGACCTTGTGCATGTTCAACTTCAACCATTAAAATTTCATGTTTTTATTTTTATTGAATCACTCTTTTTATCAAGTCTAACAACTTCCAATGGAATTTTTTTCCTTCACTCCATTTTTTTGGGAAATTTCTTCTTTTCACTTTATTCTCTTTTTTCTTTTACTTTTTACTTTCACTTTCTTTCCTTATACCCAAAGGAAGTTTTTCACTTTTTTGGAAATTTTATGTCCATACTTTGAAAGGAGAATAAAGCAGATTTTCTGTTAACAAGAATAAGTGATCTGGAATTCTATGTACATAATGAAGATTGAATTTGTACAAAAATAGAAACTTGGAATGATGAGACAAGATTGTGGGTACAAGGTGACAATATCATAATCCAACAAATGAATGTGGAGACACCTTGCCCATGTGTGCTTAAATTCTTGAATTGATTTTGGCCCTAGCACAATGATTATCATCAGACTCATTGTGTTGAATATTGTTTTATTGTCCTCTTTTCTTTTTTGTTTATATACGGCTATAAAATTTCACAATGATTAATCCCACTCAATCTCACTGAATAAGTGGATTAATCAAGTCATCTTATCACTGCAGACTAATTATTTTTGCTTTGCATTAATGTTTAATTGGTGTATATTGTTTCATTTTAAATGGGATTTCCCATTCAGTACACGCTTTATGTGAAACAATATAACTGACTTTTAGGGGGTACTTTGGTCATTAAAAGAGGTTTTTTTTAAAAAAAATAAATATATAAATCCGAAAGTTCAAAAGCAAATGAACTCACTCAGATATTATCCTATTTAGTTTCAAACCCTCAGCCTCCTTTATTTAAAATATCATATCATGTTTATACTTAAATTTTATAAGAGTAAATTACCGTAACCACCGTAGTTAAATGTATAAATAATAGAGACCTTCTCTCTTCTAATTTTAAATATAACACTGATATTTTAGATAGTTATGATCAGAATATCACTTCGATCAGAAAGATACTAAAGTTTCATATCTTAGATAGTTATGATCGGAATATCATTTCGATCAGAAAGATACTAACGTTTTATGTCATAAAATACAGAGCATTGTTCACTGATGTCTTGTTTGAAATTTACTTAAAATTTAATTTTGCCTATAAAAAATTTAAAAAGACACTTTGGTCCATATGTTGTAATGGTAAATGACCATAAAAATACAATGGATCCACTTGCCATCTCACACTTTTGGTAAACCGACGACACTAACATACAAGATTAGTGTTGTTATTCTTAAAATAATAGAGATCATCCCTATTATTTAAGTATTCAGCAGAGACTGTGAGTGTAATTTACCTTTGTTGTACAAAGAAGGTCTAATGTGCCACCTTGAAGGGTATTTTGGGCAATTCATCTCTCAAATATCTCTGAAGAAGCCTAGAATGTAAACAGAAATTGTTGGATACAGCTGGGGCAAACAAATCCATTGGGATTCATTCACCCAGACTCAGTGGTCAAGGCTGCTGCTGCCTTGATCAACTCATTAGTGCATTTTCAAAAGACTCTGACCGGCCCCCCTATGACGTACAAAAAAAGCTAGATCTCACTCTTTATTTCCTTTTCCGTAATCTCCGAATTTTTAGTTTCCACCATTTTATACTTCCTCCTCCTCAAATCTATCTCTTCAAATAAAGTACAAATTCCATTAGATAAAAGTTAGCACAATATGAATCCTAAAGGATAGTGTTGCCTATGTTCACTTTACTTCCTAAAATTATGTTCCTCGTCACTGATATGTTTGCTGGCAGCAATTGTGGACTTTCAAAAGAATGGGTAGTGGACCGATACACGGCTAATACTAATACATCCACATCCACAACCACAACCACAAATACTTCCAGAATTACGTAACAAATATTATTATTTTCTTAACAAGAAAATTAAAAAGATAACTCTAGTTCGTGTCTCCCGCCACGGTAGAATTTTAAAAAGATTAATTGTGTAATTTTACTCCGCATGTAAAGAAACTATTTTCTAACTAAAAATTGTGACACATTTGTCCATACAAACTCAAATCTTCACTTTTTACTATGTGATTTAGGTAAAATATTATTAAACCTAATGGAATCAGTACAAACAATAGTCTAAGTATGGAAGTGATTAATATATTGCATCATATAGACGCATTGATTAAAGTTTTCTCAATTGCGCAACTCAAAAAATAAAAAAATGAAAATGTCTTGTTGGTACTTGAGTCATTCAAGCTTGTCTTTCTCTAGGAAAAGTGCACATTTGTTTTATTGTTAGGTGCAACATATAGTAACAACAATATAGAAAGAATGCCCTAGGGAAAACAAAAATAATCATTAGGGATTTAACCTTTAAACTAGTGCAAATGAGATTAATGTTGTTTCAAAATTCAAAATTTAACATCTAAACCAAACTTCATATTACTTGTGCCTGGGCAAAGGGACCATTTTAATGGGAAGAAGAATGTTAGGGGTTAGTTATTAGAGGAAAGGAGGAGGGTGTAAGGCTTGAACATACATCGGATGATCCAAAGAGGGCTTGGGTGTGCTCCAGCCCACCCCAAAAAAAAAAAATTATTACTAGTATTAGCTCACCACATTGACAAGTCTTAGATCCGCCCTTGCGAACACGGGAGCAACCCAATCACTCAAATAACACAACACTTGCTACTGGGAAGAACTTGAGCCTATGAAACGAGTAACATTAAAAAGGTAACCCCAATTTTTCTTTTTCTTTTTCTTTTTCTTTTTAACCTTCTTTGCTACTATAATCACCTATCTAGAATACGAATGTTTTTTTTTCCCAAATTAATTAATCACAAAATTTGATGTGGTTAGGTTGCTCCCCTTCGAGCCTTCCACCCTTACCCTTTCCTTTAAACAACTAACCCTTAAACATTCTTACCATGAAAAAAATAAAAAATGGTGTGCATAATGAGATTATAAGTCCATCTTAAACTTGATTGGGCCTAAGAACCTATACATGATAAGCAGAGCAGGGCCATATGCCAGGCCCATATTCCATATTGTAATGAGCCCATGATGATCAAACTGCACATCCAACCTATAATATTAGTAGGACGGCCTCTTGGTTGGATCAAAGCCCATGTTCAAAGGATCCAATAAGTACCATTGTCTATTTCTTGTTTGAAGCCCATTCCTGCCAGCGTTATAAAAAAGAAAAAATTAGATCATATCAATTTTCATCTGCTGCAACGTGCTGTAAAATTTGTTTAACACACTAAATCTAGTTTCAACATATATAATTTGAATTTCAACTAATGTTTTATGTTTTGAAATTTAGAACAAATGTATTGAAAATGTCTTGTTGGTATTTGAGTCATTCAAACTAGTCTTTCTCTGGGAAAATTGCACATTTGTTTTATTGTGTGCCATAATGAGAATATAAGTCCATCTTAAACTTGATTGGGCCTACGAACCTATCACGATAACTCCATTTCAGCGCCACAAGGCCAACCCCAGATTCTATATTGCAATTAGCCCCTGATTATCAAACTGCACACATCCAACCTATAATATTGGTAGGACGGCCTCTTGGTTGGATCAAAGCCCATGTTCCAACAAGTACCATTATCTATTTCTCGCTTGAAGCCCATTCCTGCCGGCATTATAAAAAATAAAAAAAAATTAGATCATATCAATTTTCATCTGCTGCAACGTACTAAAATTTGTTTAATACACTTAAATCTAGTTTCAACACATTTAACTTGAATTTCAACAAATGTTTCTATGTGTTAAAATTTAGAACAAATGTTTTGAAACTGGATTTAAGTGTGCTGGAATATCTTTTTAACGTAATTATTATCTTGTATTTGAATGCACTTAAATCGTGTATCAACACATTAGTTTTACGTATAAACATTTAAATAAATATATAAAAATTGAATGTGAATGCGTTGAAAATGTCACATTACACTATAACCTAGTGAGGTACTGCAGAAGATTCGAACTTATCGGTAAATGTTGACCATCAAAAATTGATTATAACAAATGTTGTATATGTTGAAATTTAGGACAAATGACACATCTACCTAGGATGCGCGGAGAATTGTCCTTGACATTTCACAACAATAAAATAAATATATTCATAATTCAAAAGACCCCATTGTTCTGGACAGAGACCATGATTTTAGGGCACAATGTCAATGAAGTGGCTGGACTTTTCGATCCTCACCCAATGGTTTAGGGCACATAATGTGTACTTGTGCAAGAAATTTCCACGTGTGGAGGTTTTCGCCAAGGAATCCCAATAAAACACCATAAATATAAGGGCTTGTTCACATGCTAAACCAAGAAATTTCTACTCATATTTCCAAATAAAATATTCAGTACCCAAAGTACCACGTAGCATATTATATAGACTTTTCGATAAGAAATATGTAACTCCACTTTTTAATTTTTGGAGATTGGCTACATTTCCATGTTTATTATACACTAATAATAATATTATCAAGAGAGTCTTCTCATTATTAAAAGTAAGGAATTTTTATATTTAATATTTAAATTAAAATAAAATTTTAAAATTTGTAAAAAATTAAATGAATCATTTAATAAATCTTTCAATCCAATACTTTTGAACCTTATAACCATTACGTGCTTTGGATAATGCAGAAATTAGACTACTCATACCCACCATTTTAGCAGAATAATTGTGTATGTGTGAGAGAGAGACACACACACCTTATCACTGCGCCACACCTTGTCACTTGTTAATTGTTATAAAAAACCCCAAAGCCTCAATCTATTTTTTATTTTTTTTTTATATTAATTAGGGTACAGCTAATTTTTAAGGACTTATGAAGGACGTCTCTCACCTTGGATCAGGCAAGTCGTGGAGTATGATTACAAAAACATAACTTTAAGAATTATTTGTACTTAGTGGGAATCGAAAGTCAAACTCGATATTTTATGAGACATTAGGACCGATTGACCTTATTATTAAGCCAATCTTGAAGTTTCAGTTGATGAATCTCCTTAACGCTTAGGACAATAGAATTGCCATTGAATTATCATCACGCAGTCGTCAACAAAATGATAGAATACCTTGATCCGGTGGTTAATTAAGTAATTTCTCAAATAAATAAATAAAAGTGATCCCACTAGTTTCAATTGAAAGAGATTCAATTAATATAATGTAAACTTCTAACAACTCTATCTTGGCTGATTAAAATTAAAATAGGTTTGTTGATTGACTCAAGCAATA